CAGTCTCAATCACTGCCTCAGTGCCCCCTAGGGGCGGGGCCATATATGATGTAATTTTCAACAATGATTGGGTCGACCAGATAGCTCAGTGGATTAAAGCATCTGCTTAGGCAGAGTGCAGTGGCCCGGGTTTGATCCCTGGCATGCTGTCCCCACCCCCAGGGTGTGCTGAGATGGCAATTGAGGCTGGGGTGGCACATACTATAATACCAGCGCTTGGGAGGCTGAAAATAGGAGGATCACTATGAATCCTATCTAGGTAGCGAGACCCTGTAAACCCTGTACAAAATACATTTTTTTTAAAAATCACAAAATAAAAACAGCCAGAAAAAAACTTGAAATTTTTTATTGAACATTATATACATAATCATCTGATTTTTAAATGTTTAAATAAAAAAGAAATAAATCTTACAGTCTAAGAAATAAAAGGCAGCAACAACATTTTCAACATCTACCTAACAGCTTTAACTTTTTACTTCAGTGAGTAATACTCTTTTTTAATTTTTTCTTTAGTTCTAAAGCTGTAACTAAGCCAAGCATGGTAGTATATGCCTATAATTCCCAGTACTTGGGAGGCTGAGGTAGAAGTATTGCTGTAAGTTCAAAGCCAGTCTGAACTGCATAGCAAGACCCTGTCTCAACAAAATACAAAAAAAAAAAAAAAGTAAATAAAAAAGTAAAGCCATAACTAACAACTCCAGAGTAAAAATGTTAGCATTAAAGATTAAAAAATCTAATAAAATATTGTATATCTGAACTAAAATTTGTACTTACAAACCCTCCAAAACCTATTGTACTGTTTTATCATTTTACATTTTGAAAATAAATTTTAAAAGTTTAAACTTACAGGCTGGGGAGATAGCTCAGCGGCCTAAGTGCCTGCCTAGCAAGTGCAAGGACCCAGGTTCGATCCCCAGTACTGCATATCATGCTGGCCCTGGAGCCCTGGAACACCGGGCACACTATTCCAGCCACCACAACCAGGCATGGTGGTACACTCCTATAATCCCAGCACTGGGGAGGCTGAGACAGGAGAATCACTACGAGTCTGAGCTGTGTAGTGAGACCCTGTACCAATTAGATAAAGATTTTTAAACATGTTTTTAAAATGTATAACAGCATAATATGTTCAAAGTTCATCTGTACTGATGTGTCAGAACTTCCTTCTTCTCTGGCTGAATAATGTTTCGTTCTATGTATATGTCATACTGTGCTAATCCATGCATCCCGAGGGGGACAGAGGGTCGCTGCCACTCCTTAGCCATTGTAAATAATGCTGCAATGACCATACCTCTTTCAAAGATCTCATCAAGATATTGCTTCCAGATTTTCTAGGTCTATGGTCAGAAGTGAAATTGCTGGATCATATAGTAATTCAGTTTTAATTGCTTGATGAGCTAGAGTGTCACACCATTTTATATTCCCAACAATGCACAGGGTTTCAATTTCTCTACAACCTCACCAGCACTTGCTATTTTGACAGTAGCCATTCTAAGAAGTGTGAGGTGACATTACACTGTGGCTGTAATTCACACTTCCCCAGTGACTACTGATGCTGAGCATTTTTCATAGTCTTAATAATCACTTATATACCTGGAGAAAGATCCATTTTTTAAATGGATTACTTGCAGCTTTGTTGTCGAGTTATAGTTGTTCTTCTGAATATTAATCTCTTGTCCGATACACAACTTACAAATATTTCTTCCATTCTAATTTCATTGTGTTGATTATGTCCTTTGAGGCTCAGAAGTCCTTAAATTTGATAGTTTTGTTTGTGTACTTTTGCTTTTATCATCTCTGTGGTGTCATCTAGCTACAATTTTACTCCCAGCTGCAGGGTTTCAAGAAATTTTTCCGTTGTGGCTAAAGAAAGATGGCCAAATGCCTCTTTAATAACTTGCACAATCAACTGGGTGTGGTGGAGCATGCCTACGATCCCAGCACGTGGGAGGCTGAGAGAGGAGGATCATTGTGAGTTTGACTGTCTTGGGCTACTCAAGCTGAGCTCAAGGCCAAACTGAACTGCATAGCGAGACCCTGTCTTAAAAATACAAAAAATAAAATATAATGTGTGCAATCTTGTCCTTATGCCCACTATGTTTACCACATCACAAATGCTTATCAGTAAAATACAAACCTTCGGGGTTCAAAGTCAAGTGAAGGACATATTTGTCACACTGTACTGCTGTTCTTCCAAATGGCCATTTGCCATTCCCTTCCCCTTTTCTTCAATGTCTTCACAGAAGTAAAGACAGAAGAGACCACATGAACCAACAAAGATTTATAGTGCTCAGAAAATCTCTACAAACCCTTCTTCTTGTCCCTGTATAGATAATTCTAGGGACTTCCATGTTCTCTCCAACCATTTAAGCTGCCTGAATTATATATA